GATCAAATGATCCATGTGCTTAAGCAGAAGAATAAGAAGCCAAAGATGACATCCTGTTCCAAAATAAAGTAGAACTTTGGATTCATTTTTTCTTTTAGATAAAAAAATATCAAGTGTATTTACACAAGGTACCAAGGGCCTACCACCCATTTACGAAAATTTACAATTCTGTTAGTATATCAATGAAATTCTCAAAATCCTCCATCCTATAGAACTTTGAATTCGTTTATTACAAATTCTCATCAGGATCCATCCAAAACACTGAGCACCCAACACAAAAGTGTCGTACCAGCTTTAAGCTCCTTCCTCAACCCACTCTCAGAAATGGAAGTAGTGATGGAAGAGAAGTGAACTTGAGGAGGGTGGCAGTCTCGGTGGAAGAACTGATGGCAAGATCCAGGGGAGGGGAGGGCTGAGCAGGAAAAATTTTTAGATACACAGGAGGTGCGGAGGTCACGAGAAAAAAAGAAGGATGAGGATGATGACAATGATATTGATTATATTTTACTACAGTCTGCTCTTTCAACTATTTGAAGGCGGACCATACGGAGGAGAATGTTGATCCGGGAAGTGAAAGAACATACATCATGGCGGAGGAACCAAGTGAGAGTAGTGGTGAACAGGAACGGGAAGGACTAAAGAGTTTGATTGGAAGTAATCCCAATATTGAGGAGCATGGAATGGCATCTAATCTGCCACAACAAATAGGCTTTGGTAATGATTGTGGCAAAACACAACTTACATCTGACAAGGACTTTGAGCCTCTTCATAATTGCATTAGCAATCCACCCAGGTCTCTCCTTAATTAGTCCAAGAATGACATTTATCTAATAGTTTGTTGATCCCATGACAAGCAATGAAGATGGTAAGGATAAATGGCGTAACGCCTATTCCCAGAAACTATTAGGGAGACCCGACCATTCCTAGGGTCATAGGCAGTTAGGTACCATCACAATAACACCATCAACTTAAAGCCAATATCAACAAACTTTGATACTGGAAACCCAATGTTTTTCTGGAGAGTTAGGATTTGAGAACAGTGAGCGAATCAAGGAAGGAGGCAAGGATAGTGGAGCATCGACATATGTATATAATGAATACACATAATATTTCTTATTTGAAGCAGAAAAAACATGTGGGTTATAGATGATAGGCTCCATACTCCGATGAAGCATGCTCATCCAAATATGGGGGCATGCCCAAGTACCTTAACCCACAAGGTTTCCATGAAGGTAGTCTTGTCCCAAAGCTCATCAAAGGAAGTAATATGGTCTTGAAAATTAGCCAGTTAAGACATCTTATTAGAAGTCAAGACAAAATCACTTGCATTTTTGTACGTTATGAAGATAAAGAAATATCTCTAAAACGTCCATGAGTCTCAACATATAATGAGGCCAAGAAAGCCATTCAATCCAAAAGAAATTTGGAAGGGAATAGTTGTCCTCAAAAATTCTACAACTATGCTCCAACAACAGAACTTATTGCACAAAAAGTCTCTTTCCAAAGCACTCTAGCATCTTTTCTCACTATCCCCATTCAAAGATGGATTAATGAAACATTCAGAGAAGGGGGTGCTGCCCACATGAGACATGAATTTATGTTTCAGCTATTGTTCTAACAATAATCATGATCAGACTTGTCTTACAATGGTGTTTGACAGTTATTTTATACAACCCTCAACATTTTGCACTTCCACAAAGTTTCTACACTTCTTTAAACAAAATAACAATTCCACTTCAGTTCTATTATTTACCCTCCTATCCTGTTAAGAACAAACCATAAGAGGGAAAAACCATCACAATTTTTCTGGGTCAAGCACGCTATTAAATTGCACATCTCTTAGTTTCTTGTAACTAGAACAATGCTGAACTGTTTATGTATAGTAGATCAGGAAAGACAAAAGTCAACCAAATAAAAGAACAATCAGAATAGAAGTTACCTCCCAGAAATTCAGCATAGGATCCACAACATGAGAGATTTTTGGATCAGAAAACCTGCATTTTAAAAATTCACTGAAAACTAATTTTCCACTAAACCCTACCTTATAAAATACATTTCTTAAAGATCACATACCCCTGTAAAGCAATACTTTTAAGCTCATCACGATCATTGACAAAAGGGACCCATATCTCAGTAAAACGATTACGAAGCGCTGGGGATAATTCCTTTTTACCATAATCACCACCCGGATTCATGGTTGCAAGCACAAGAAAGTTACCATGAGCGGTAACTTCCTCCAGTAAAGTCCCACCTTTTTCAGCCAAAGACTATAGAACAAAATATTGAAATTAAACCCCGACAAACAGGTCAAAAAATAGTAAGCATAAGAAACAGGTGAAGAAAAGTTTTGAATATCCAAGATAAGCTATTAGCACCAAATTATTACTTCACATGCATTACAAGTAGATACTTAACAATTATGACAATTGAGTGATGACAATGATGAGAATGCAATATTATACTGATTTCATTATTTCTTGCGACCAACTGGAATCATAAAATACAAATAAAAACCAGACACCTTATGTGAGGACTACCCACCAATTTCCTCTCTGTCTCCAGTACACTATTCAACCTTTCCAGCACGCTATCATCAGCCAATGAAATTTCATCCACAAGAAATAGGTCCCCAGCTCTCATAGACTGAACAAGAGGTCCATCTTGCCAAACGAAAATCGCCTGCCACTTCTGGTGCAGCCTAAGAAGGTCCTGCTTAACCTCCTCAAGAGTATCAATATCTTGTATGGTGATATCAGCACAGGAAACAAGACCTTGTCTATGCATTTTGATAATTTCCTCTAAATGATTAAGAGTTGAGGCAGCCAGGCCAATATCTGAAGAAATCTCCTGCATAATGTAATATTTGAGAAAACATGGAGTCCCAGTATATAATTTAAATGGAAAAAAATATTAAAGAAAGAAGTAAAAGTACAGAAGGAGAGGATAAGAAATCCTAACCAGTACTATATTTCAAAAAAAAAAAAAGAAGTCCTAACCAGTACCAACATTTTACACAGACAAATTATACTCACATGGTGTTTAGCAAGATGAACAAATGCCTTCGATAGCCTCAATTTTCCTATTAGATCTTGGAACTCCGACGATAGTTGTGACCTATCCCGAACAGGATAGAAACCCTGTCAAGAATTCATATAATCTACCAAGTTAGACTGCATCAAACTTCTAGGACAGACCAGAACATAAAAGAGGTAAATAAAAATAACCAACCCCAAGAAATTCAGATGTTTCTGTGTATTGGTGGCAGTTTAAAATGTGTAACCTTAACCCCAATGCCTCAGCAAGTAACTGGCAGACAGTAGTTTTACCCCCACCAGTCTCACCAACAAGAAGAACAGGTTCACGCAAATCATAGCAACGTTTAATGAGGAAGTACAGCCTCCACAGACTCTTGGTCCAACTGATCCTGCAAGATCATTGGAAGATTAACAACTGAAATATCCAAATACAGGATAGCAGTAATCAATAATCTGAGTTCCTTACCTTGAATGCTCTTGCAAAGTAAAAACCAGATCCCCGACAGACATGTCCTGAAGAAACAAAAACAAAAATAAATACAAACTCAGGCACATTGGATATCTTTACAACATGGGAGGGTGTCTCAATATATATATAAATACTAACATAGACAAGTAAAACATTCAGTTTCAACACACACTATTAGAACAATCATTCAAAATCCTATATATATATATGCAGCTGCAAGTATATGCATGTCAATCAACTATAAAATAGTGGTATAATTCTAATTTCATGTAACAGGAATGCAGTTGGAATAACAGGAAAGAAGGAAATAAATGAAGTTCTAATCAACAGCAAAACAGATCACTTAAACAAGAATCCATTTACTACCTTGTAATGAAAGACAAACCTTGGAAGAACTACTTTCCTAACTACTATTAACATTATCATAATATTTTTAATGCATAATATTTTTGAATAGATTCCTAATTAGATTAGAGTTGTAATTCTTTTAAAGAACTGCTATACTATTTAAGAATCTATATATTTTCAAAAAAAAAATATTTAGGAGTCTATTATAATCTTTATAAATTTAAAATTTTATTCTTTTTACATATTTAATTTCTCTATTATTATTGATATTAGTATTAAATTTAGTCAAGAGAGATTATTTAGCAAGTATTACAAATTCCTTAATAATCTCACTTTTAAGAGATATTCAATTATCTAATAAGAATTCTTGAAAAATTTCTCTGATCTTTCTGATTTTAGGATACAATGTGATGCTTGTGGGATATCTAAGCAACCCCAAGTTAACGAAGGGATGGAAAGCCCAATGTGGCCCACTGAACCGAGCTAACCCGCTAAATCATGTCCCAGTTAATGCTCTCCAAAAAAACTGTCAGTTTTATTTGGGGTAATTTCGTACGAATGATACAAAGCCTCTCTGGCAAGGGGATTTATTTATCAGGCTAAGGTGTTTTATGGTTATCTCGACATCATCGGATTTTTAATGACTACCACACATCATGTATGAGCTGTTGGAAAGGACTACTTTCCTGGCAACTGTGTTGGCTAAGGCATATCGAAACTTAACACTAGTATCTCTTCAACAAAACCGAGAAGCTATTATAAATAGCTCATATGGTGGAATCACTTTTTTTCTTTTGGTTTTCATGCTTCTTTGAGGAGGATCTCTTATCCTTCAGTTTTATATTGCACTATTTCTCTTCCTTCCAAATAAATTTTCATCTTAGTATCTATAAAAAACTGTCAGTTGGGTCAGACTATTTTTTCCTGAACTGGGGCAGGTTGAATTTGGGTTTGGCACTGAAAAACCTGTTTGATGTCATATATTTATATATATTTCAGGTCAGGACAAAGTGCATCTTCAATAGTATGATGAAGAGATGCAAGTTATATACGAAGAATGTGAGGTCTAAAAAGCATCTACTTCTATGGTGTCCTTTCTCTTTCGTCTTTGGTCACTGGCCTACATCTTTTTACGGTTAAATAGACAATGGTTGGTTAAGCAAGAGAGGAGATTTGGGCTTCAAGAAGCATCCATGGGAATAAATGTTTCAAGAAAAATTAAGCCTTATCTTTTTGGCTGCGTTATGAGTGATTTGGAAACAAATAAAAGAATTTTGGGGGCATAGATACTTTTTGATAAAATCAAGACCGCTTGGTTCGTAAACCTCTTTACACTTTTTCTGGATATAGGAGATATTGATATTTTTATATATTTGTAAAGCATTGTATACGGATTGCACCTCTTGGTGCCCAAGTACTACCCGAACCCAAAATTTAGCCCGTTATCAATTTTTACAATTTAAAAATAAATAAAAAATTTATTTATAAATTAATCTAATTTAATTTTGCTAAATTATTGAAAAAAAAATAAGTTAGGGATGTAATCGAAAACAAATTTAAAAAAAAAAGGTAAAAATGTGGATTCGGGAAGTATTTTTAAAAGAAAAATTAAAAACAAGTGGTCAAAGTGCATAAAGAGAAAGTTCGGCCACGTAGGACCGCTCAGTCAGCAGTCTCGACAAACCGGAGCATTCTGCATTACAAGGCTCGCTGACGTTGGTGATCCGCGTGTCCCGCAATCGGACGGCTCAAGATCGATCTTGCGCACGTGGACGGCCAGATTCGTTTTCACCTTAGACGCGATCGGACAGTCGAGATCAATCGCAATAAACGCATGATGGATATAATACTTCACATCACTCGAAAACCCAAATCTTATCCGTCATTCCACACTGAAGATGAAGAACCAGACGCCGAAGAAGGAGGCCGACCGCCGACCACCGACGCCATGCTAGAGCCACCGCCAGCCGCCAAAAAAGGTAAAAATTATCCCTACCCGCTCATAATTCGATTCTGAACATCCCTGTGTCAAATCAGAGCAAGAAAAACGATGGGTGAGCCAGAAATCGTGGGCAAAGCCCGGCGGAGCCACCGCGGGCCAAAACCCCAAAATCCCTCTGATGAGCCCCTTTCCGATTCCCGTTTCACGTGATTTTTCGATCAGTGTGTTCACAGTCTTTTTCTGTACAGATTAGCCGAAAAAAGAATCTTAGTCGCGAAGGACGACTGGCAAAGCCGGCGCACCCTGAGGTTCCTCCGCCAATAGGTTCAATTTTTTTGTAATTTCCCGGCCAACCGAGTCCCATAACGTGTTTTTCTGCAGGGATACAGCCAAAACCGATCAGACCAAAGCGAACCACTGCCATGGACGGCGGAGCCGGCACCGGAACATAGCAGCACTGCCATGCTAGAACCCCAAAATTTACCGGAATGAGTTTTTGACACCAATTTTGGATTTTTGGTGTATTTTTAGGCATGGAACGAACGTTTTGGATTTCACAGAAAAAATTCAAGAAACCTAGTATCCGTTAGAAAACGTAGTAGACAACTCGACGTCTCGAAACACCAGTCCGGATAAAGATCCTTTACCCTATTCTCCGTTACAGTAAATTGAGACTTAACAATGTATAATTCTGTATTTTTATGAAAAATTAGAAAACCCTAAAAATAATTATAAATTACTAATGTAGCTAGAACCGATTAATTGACAACTATCTTGATTTTCTGTTTATTTTTCTATACTGTTCTACTTGCTTGATTGATCCACAGTATGATTAAAATTATTACTTTTAAATTATTTTTTTCATTTATTGATTGTCTGATCGTAATCTTTATCTAATTCATTGATTTAAACTAAAGGCTCCAATACGTTCCTTAATTTTCGAGGTATGAAATCGTACTGTTTTTTTAAATGTCGTTTGATTGATCTATAAATATACAATGAGATATTAAGATCCGCTTGTTGGTTGTTTGTTGATAAAAATCTATATATGAAAGATTTATTGGGTACTCAGAAAAGGGCAGACAGGTCCGATACATAGGAAACCCTACCGTGAACGTCACCTCAGTTGGACGGAGTTAAGAAGTCCCGTATCAAAAAAGTTTGGGAGATATAGTTCACTCTTATACTAGATGGGGTATCGAGACGATGAAATGTTTGGCACCCATTACCGGACAAAGTATGGGGACGACCAATTAATTGTTTAAATTGGATATCGGATTCACGGGTAGGGAAGACACTCCTATGGACCCATAGGGGTACCAATAAGCAGGTAAGAAATGAAAATTATTGTTTCTTATTCTCTTATGCGTGAAAGTGAAAAGTGGTATGAATATGAGTTTTCATACGTTATTTTTGGAAAACTTGTTATGATAAGTATTAAAAAAACGTTTTTAAGTTTAAATGTATTTAAATAAAGGAATGGCTCCATTAGTTATTTTTTTCTGATTTTTTTACTAATATTCAATTTTCCGTATTGGTGATTAGTGTGATATTTTTACTGAGGTAGTGTAACTCACCTTTCATTAACTATTTCAGATCAAGAGAATCAAGATTCAGATCCCGATCAGCAAGAGGGTTGTGAGTAGTTCACTATCCGGACTCCCTTCAAGTACTAGTGAAGGTTGTTCTAGAATTTCTAGTTATTCGTTATTCGTTTTATTTATTTAATTTCCATTTATCTTTTAGAATGGATATTTCCATAATTCTATTAAACATTCTAAATTATTGTGTAAGAAATGTAAATTTTAACTCTATTAATCGTTTCTGCATTTTTGGAATAAAAGCAACAGAAAAGCCTACAGAAACGCTTGTCTTTCTTTTAATAGAGTTTCCGGTGTTTGGTCCATTACCTTTTTTGTTTTATAAGGCCCATAGGATCAATTCAGCCATAGGGTTAAGAATAGAATAATGTAAAGTG